GAGAGGGAAGGAGGCACCAGAGAGCACTGGCTCCCACCCGCCCCTCGTGTGTAAACATGTAAGCACTGAAATTTTCAGCAGTTACACATTTACAGAAATAAATTCATTTTAACATTCTTAATTTATCCTTAGACTTTTTTTTTTTTAAGTTAGCTAGAATTCCCAGCTATGCGCATAGGTGCTGGAACTAAAGTTGCGGGGGATGCAGCAGCACTCCCGGACTTGAAGTGGTTTCCCATTGTACAGAGTTTACAGTTTGGTTCAATGGCTCTTAGCACCTCCACTATACAAGTTGTTCCCCAACCACTGCCTATGCACCACCTTGACATGAACGCTACAAACATCTGAGCCAAGTCACACAGCTATTTTTCCTTCCCAAGGGAAGACGCAATTTAAAGCTACCACCTATTTTTCTTTGCCACTTCCTGCACACTCCCTGTAGCATAATCACCGAGTCTAAGAAAAACCTGTCCTGTAAGCCCAAGCCTGTACTCTGAAACTGAATAAACGAGGTATAAAGGTCCAGGGTAGCATTCAAGGATTTCAGTTTATGAAAAATGTCAAAGAAGAAATGGGGCAAGAAAACTAAACACTGTTTGTAGTTTTCAGCAAAAGAGTCAGTCTCAGACAGATGAAACCAAACAGGGCCAATTTTATTACTGGATGTTTACTTTATCCATCCTTGACAACATACAGCTATTTAAAAATGCTTACCTGTAGGACTGTAGCACATCAATGATACCAATATATAAAAGCAGTCTCTCTCCCTTGGAATTCCGGGCCGGAATGCCTCCCATTCTAGAAAACAAAACAGGAACCATGATGCAGGCTTTACCCCGACCTAAACATTTTCACTCTACACAACTCAGCCTTGTAGGGGATAAATGGATTAACAAGTGGCAACATGCAGAGAACATCTACTGCTGAGCTAACAAACTCCAGTGAAGACAAATCAGAGCTAAATGCTACGTCAGTAAATGACCAAACACGCTAAGAGTTTATTCCTGCTTTCTGTGCATTTGTCTATTTTACTGAAAATGTGGGTTGGTTAATAGATAACTGTAACCCTAAGAACACCCTGGAGTATTTCAATTGGCCCCTGTTAGAGACAGGTCTGATCCACTACAGCACTTCCTATGATCTGTGGAGGGGATACTTAAGGTTCTGCTGGTTTGTGTGTTTTTCAACTTCCAGGTGTTGTACAGACATATTAATCCTCACAAATCCCTGAGGCTGGTAAGCATCCTGCTTTCACTGGTCAAGGAAGCAGAGGCACGGAGGACTTCAGTGACTTACTCAAGATAAGGAACTGAAACCAGAACTCAGGAATACTGAACCCTTCTCTCCCCCACACCCCCCCTCTCAGATTCGGTTCCCTACTTCATACTCCTGCCACAACTCATTGACTCTGTGGTCCAGACTTGGTACCTAAATCACACCTTCCTTGTCAATCCCTGAATTTTACCCCAAGGAACTAGCCTTTTTAATTTGAAAGATCAGCGCAGACGTACTGGTCATCAGTCTCTATGGTGCCACCTCGCCGGGCCTCTCCTTGGATCGACTCCATAGCCGTGGAGTAGAGAGCTTTCTGGGCAGCTGGCCTCCGCGTGTCCGACTGGGACGTCCCATCCATTATTGCACGCTCTCTCTGAGCCTGATCAATGTTATGCACTGCCACAAGCAAACTATAATCCATGATTTTAAAACTCTGTAGAACCTGGACAGAAAGCCAATGCAGCACCATTTACAAGAGTTGAGTGATTCGTTAAACTATTCCAGTTTTATTCACACACTAAGGGGACGGCCTCTATATAGCCTTTAGTAATTTTCACCCACAAATCTCAATGAGCAGCTTTACAAAAGAAGGTACATATCAGTATCTTTCGTCTACAGGCATGGCAACTGGGAAAATTATTTGTGCAGGGCTGGGCTGGATACCAGATCAGTTGCAGGCACAGATCTTGGGTCCTCTGACTCTCAGTCTGGTGTCCTAGCCACTGGAGCGCACAGCTGCCCTAAAAAGTAGGACTCCTTTAGGTACTATAAAAGATGTAAGACATTGTTGGGTGGGAGACATACATTTGACTGTTCAGGGGACTGGGAAGGGGAGACAGCACTTTACCCTCTAGATTATGGATCTGAATTTTACTCAACTTGGAAATGTCGGAACACGCAAAAGGAGCCTGTGGTCTGTTCCATACCCAGTGGGCATCACCACATAAATGCCAAGCCATTAGCTCTGTAGCTGGAGACATGGCTGAGGTGCTAAAGATTGAATGGACCATGGCAGCTAAGTCCCCTGGGTCAGAAATGAGTTGTACAGAGAGGGCAATGTTTGGAGGGGTAACTGCATTGCAGCTGCCTGGACTGTGTCTTTCTGGAGACAGAGACACACCTTTCACTTAAAAACTGCATCCCAGAGTTACTGGACTCTAGAAACACAAGAAAACGCAACAGGATAAATGGCTTTGCAGCTACCCTGGGGCATGCACATTTCAAAAGGTGCGAAACTAATCCACAGGGAAGGCCTCAATTCAGCCTGCCTCACCCTTCACTTACCAAACAATCTCTCTGTAGTGTTTTGCACAAAGCATTGTACATGTCAGAGTCTAGGAACAGGCCATCAGGGATGTCCTGCATAAAATCCAGGTCTTTGTATGTTGGGAAGACCTTCTCCCGCTCCTTCTGGGATGCTCGACGCTTATAGGTGGAGCCTTTCAAGTCATACTTCAGGTGCATTTTCACAGAGCGGGGCAGCAGGTTGTTCATCACTACAATGCGGATGTTCTTCCCTCCGGCCTGCACACAGTACAGGCCATAGAACTTAGGCAGCAGCGTCCGAGGATTCTGATTCAAGTTCTAAATGCCCAAAGACAGAAGACACAACTTCAGAGTCCAAGCAACTCCCTAAATTCACAGTGCTCTTTGCTAGCGTATCCGAACCACAAAACACTGTCTGGGATCCAAAGTGATTATCAGGAAAGCAACAAATCTGGGATGGATGAACTTTGGGCATAAATGGATAATTCTAGGATAAGAAATGTTTTCTCTGCATGTGTCACATGCAGCTTTTGTAGACAAGGAATATGCACCTTCATCCATACATTTATCTGCTAGAGCCCATCTGTGGCAGCCATCAGGGCAAAGGAGGAATTTTTGTGCGTAGTCCTTTTAGTTTTCCACTCGCTCCTCTAGCTAAGATCTTGCCAGATCTCATGCTAAGTGGAACAAGGGAGGGTGAATACTGGAATGAGACACCCCTAAAATCCAGATGGTTGCAGAAACTAGCATTGATCCAGTATCCCAGTCCAGTATTATGGGCAAAGAATTGGTACTGCCACGAGTAGTATTAAATAATGCGTGTATTAAGAATTCCATGGCACTTTTCAACCCCAGGGACATTATCCTGGCCAAATTCCCACTTAGAGGCAGTTAGTAAAGGATTCTGGCACTATTTACCATCTCTAGTGGAGCTGTGTATATATTATATGTTGGGATTGGATTGAATTCTGTTCTAGAACTAACAGGGCCCACTATTCTACTTACGATTACATTTTAATCATTTTAGACAGACACTCAGGCCCTGAAATACAGGCATGTTCAAGTTAAACAACAAAGTGGTGTTTGTTGGGCAGCACTGAGAGATGAAAGAGAACGTCCAGAAGGGGAAAAGGAAATAAGGAGCTTTGCTATCTTTGCATATCCGGGGTGTGAGCTTCTCACACAAACACTGACAGAGCAGACACACACACAGCTATTCAACCATGAAGAATCTAGCAGTGCAAGCCTGAATGCCGGGCGGGTCCCTTTTAGGGATGCCGGCACTCTTCAAAACAATCCAAATGAGTAGGCCTGGTGCAAATGTCCCGGTGCTGGCTGAGGAAATCCAGCAGCCTTTATTAGTCACATACCAGAGGGTGTATCAGCATTAGTCAGCAGAGGCAAAAATGGAGTTGACCAAAGGGCTCAGGTCCAGATTTTCAGAGGCACTGAGCATGTATCCTTGCAGCAAATGGGAATCGAGCGTGCTTAGCACCTCTGAAAATATGGCTTTGAGATCAGATGTTAACCTGCTGGACAGAATGTCACCTGCCAGTTAACGTTGCCATTTTCTGCTGGCAGAGAAACACCATTACAACCTGTACAGAAAGATCACTCAAGCAACTTACCATATAGTAACCTGGCAGCAACTTTTGCAAGAACTCTGCTTCTTTGTGCTGAACTGTTTTAATGATGAACTCGTCATCACTGGATACATAGAAGAGGGAACCGCTAGCCCCAGAGTTCGAGAGCTCAATGAGTGGCTCACTGCAGAGTGAGTACTGAGGGGGTGAGTTAAAAAGCAAAAGCATAAGATAAACAAGAAACAAAGCACAGGCATCTTTATCGATACTATAACTGCAGGGTCTTCTTTGTGCTGAACTGTTTTAATGATGAACTCGTCATCACTGGATACATAGAAGAGGGAACCGCTAGCCCCAGAGTTCGAGAGCTCAATGAGTGGCTCACTGCAGAGTGAGTACTGAGGGGGTGAGTTAAAAAGCAAAAGCATAAGATAAACAAGAAACAAAGCACAGGCATCTTTATCGATACTATAACTGCAGGGTCAACTCGAGCGGCTGAGTATGTAGAGATGGAGCCATTTTACACACACACACACACACACACACACACACACACACA